CAATTTTATTGATTGATAATCAAATGCACATTTATAGTTATACTAAAATGAAAACTGTACTAAATATATTTGAAAAACTGACTACTTTTTTAAAATTATAATAAATACTTATCATTTATTATGTTAGAATGTTCTCATAAAAATCATATCACCCCAGGTGTAGGGGCCTGGCAGGAAAATGTCTCAGGCTCAAAAATATGTTAATCTGTCTCTGTGTTTATGTATATATATATATATTCGTTCCAACCCTATTACCCCACTAGGTGAGCTCCATATTTTTATTCTTATATGTCTAAAAATTGTGCATTTTTTGCTTTTTTAAAATGGTTGGATTTTGTTATTCATACATTGTGATCAAGATTTGTGTGCCTTTATTTAATCTGCATGCAATAATTGTAAAATTTTTAAAAGTGGTGCTAGGCATAGCGGGACTGTTGTTTGTTGACATAGAACAATGAATCAAGTCAATTGGTGCAGCAATATCACTGTCTTTTGCACAGTGGGGCCGAAAGTTAACTTTCAGTTTTGTACACTAAAAATTTGGTCTTCCTGCCTGTTGGCCGAATTGCTTGTTTTTACATAAAAACTGTAATTTTTAATTGTAAAAATTGTTTTTAATGTCTTACTGTATTTGGTGTTTTAGGTTTTTCTGTATTTTACAGTTTTTAATGAAGGTGTTTTGAGTTTTTATGTATTTTATGTATTTTTGCCCTGCTGTAAAATAAGATTTGAATTCATTGAGTGAGAAATATATGTCTAACGCAATTCGAGGAAATACATGTAAATGATGTGCAGCAAAAAATGTGTATAAATTAATAGGTTTTACATGGAAGTCATGTGTTGCCCACATCAGGTATTTTTAATTGAACATCACCACTGATCATAGATGATTATGCAAATCAATAGCTGGTCAGATCATGTAACACAAATAGACAGTACTGTTTTGCTTACTTCTCTTATTTAAGAAATCCAAATGTATTTATGGAGTGCCCAGCATGATAATGCTTTTACTTTTAATGGAATTGTAAATGATGACTCATTATGGTGACAATTAGCAAATCATCAATGCTCAGATTTTCAAATGCCATCAAATTTGCCTAGCTCTGAATTTCTCTCTCTCTCTCTTGTTTAGTGGCGAGGCAATTCAGAGATTCTAAGCCTAAAAGTCAAAGAAATGTTGATGGTTCTACAGCTGAACGTTAAATTCTTCCATTCACTTTTTATTTGAATTGTTTACAATAAAAGTTTTGTGTAAAAGTGGATTTATTTTTGAAAGAATGTATCTACCAGCAAATGATAATGCTAAAGCAAAAATATTGAAATTAACATTTCATTCAAAGCTCTGTAATGAAGACTGATAGATCACTCTGTTATAAAATACAACAATATTTTATTTGCTGTACTGGCTGCATGGGGTTCCTGTGCAACCATAGCCAAAGTTTTTGCTGTGCATCACAAGTACTAATGAATTATTTCTATTATTTATGCATAAATATATTTCAAATTACTCCTAAGTGTGATAGCAGATAAATCAATATATGTTAAAGATATTTATAATTAGCAAGAGGAATTCTCGGAACATGCATAAATGTGTAGAACTGTAGTTTCGAAGGTTAAATGAAACCTCCTTCTCCACAGGAATGATAATGATGCAATAACAACAGACAAAAAAAAAAAAAAAAAGAGAGAGAGAGAGAGAAGATTCCAGCCAAAGGATAACAAAACAGAGCTACTGCTGCCATCTATTTACAAAATCATAAGTTTAAAACAAGCAGGGGAAAATTATCACATTGTTTTATATAATGAATAAGCATTGACTTATGTGTATTTGATAATATATATAGTTATAAATTATCATTTAAGTTCCTAACCATTTATTTTAATTTATTTAATTTTCTATCCTCTTGCCCTAATATCCAGTTTCCTGCCAGAATGTAAATTTCTAGCTCAGGTGATATTCAAACGAGGTAGAAAGAAAAGACTATTTAAAGGAAGGTTTCAGGAGGTAGAATTAGATTGCATTCTGCCTGTTGAAAGGCCACGTTACTAAATTTAATTCTCTTGTGATTAGTATTCTGCGAAACAGAGTTACTCTTGCCATTAGGCTTGTGTACGCTGACCTTATGTCAGAACCAGCTTACATACTATTTCATTTGTTGTTGTTGTGTGTTCATATTACATGGAACAATGGTTGTCAAAGCCTACTCCTAACAGAGGTTGAACTTTTATTTTCCACCCCCAATTTTGAGGAAGAGCACTTTGGGAAGAGAATCTGGGGCTCTCCCACCCCTCTCCCCTTCCACCAATCCCATGGACGTAGGAAGTAAGATGGAGTTGCCCTAAACAAGTTTCTCCCGTACTCTCCTCTGAAGCACCGGCGATACCTACGTGGTGACCAAAACATTGGGTCATTTACCATTGAGTTCAATGGGTTTTGATGCGTTCGGATGTAAATATTTTGTAATTACGTCCTAAATATACATATAAATGTATATATTTTCTTTTTCTACAACACTTCAGAGTCCTAAGTATATGAAAACAACATATTTTTAAACAACATTTCATTCTGAACGGAATTAAATGCTATACTTTTCACAGGACAGTTTTCTCAGAATGGTTTAATTTGAATGAAATATTTTCACGAGTTTTCGTTAATTACATTAGGGGAAAAAATTAAGGTAATTCGATTTTATTCGGTTAAAGTACAAAAATTAAGATCAAAGTTTATTGTATTATTAATATTAAAATTATGCATTATTTCTTTTCTATTTATAGAGCTTCTTCCTAAAATATTTTCTTAAATATGACATGATTTTTTAGCTTCTGAGGCATCTTTTAAATCGAAAAATGTAAGTCAATTTATAATTACTCTATTCAGTTCATTTTAAATTAGAGAATTATTAGGAATTAGCGAAATACTTTAAATAGTACTTGACTTTCTATGAAGATTTCTGAAAGTTAATAAAAATAAGTTTTTTTTTTAAGTATTTAAAACTTGTAACTGAGTTATTATAAAATGTAAGAAGAATAATTCTTTTAATTATACTTATCAGATTTTTTTTTACCCTTCATTTCAACAATACATATTCCAAAACTCTTTATTACTTTCTTAAGTGCGCATCTCATAGCATTTGCTTTACAATACCTTTTAACAGATTGCTTTCCAATACGAACAATTCTTGCTTAAATAGTTTATAATGTATTTGTCAACAGGATTTCAATTTATGTTTACAATTCAATATTAAGGTTATTATATATTTAGATAACATTTATAATCATTATAAATTAGATACATTTAATCATTAGATTTCTTCACAGTACTTTCACAGTTGTTTATAAGTGAATAAATTCTTCATTTCAAATACATTTATAAATAATTTAATGAATATTTATGTATTCTGTCAAAGGCAGATACATGCTTTTTGCAATAATATGCAACAATAATATATGGATGTGAAAAAAATTTGTTTTATTTAAAACATTTTGGCGTTTGGAAAATAAAATAAAAGTAGCGAATACTCTATCAAGGGTATCGAAAGACGTATACAATTTTAAATGTACTGTAAGGTATTTTTCATTCTTTTAAGCATAACATTTTTCTTAAAATCTATATTTTTGTAGTTCAACAGCTTAGAATTTTATAAAACAAATTCATAATCAAAATCGTGCTGTTGTTAGTTATCGAAAAATAACTAACAACAGCGGTTAGTTATTTTTCAATAACAAACAACAGCGGTTTTGATTATGAAAAATATCCAAGATGTGATTTTTGCGTAAATGTCACTAAACTATACAAATTGCTATTCTCCATCACACTATGAATGTTTCTTTCATGCGAAAGTGTCCCTTTTTCGATTTGTATGGAACTGTCGTGTGTCGAAATACTATCAGAACCGTGTCAAGCGAGCTTCTGAATGTAAACAAAGAACACCCCATCTGGTGACCCAAGCTTCAAAGTAGTGCTTCACTTCTAGTGCGGACTAGCCCCTCCTTCCTTTCCTACCTCCATGACCAATCCACATGAGAGGACTTTTGGCTTGCCGCATATTTTAGAGTGCCGCTATGCCGCACCGACACTATACATTTACAAACATCCATGTCTTCTCCGGGATTCAAACCCGGGCCCTTCGGTACCATAGTAGGCTCCCCTAACCACTATACCGTCTGGGCAACTATTTTAATTGTAAGATATGGTTAGGCTTTGCTTAATTTCATCAGTTTTAGTTCATCCATTACCTCCGATTTAAGCCAAAGCTATTGGCTTCTGTAAACACGAGTTCGTATAGACTGTTAAACTTTATTTAATGCATTGACGGTGGCGAGGATATTCATTGTTCTCTTCATGTGGCTTTTCCTGTCTCTGTGGTACTTAACAAGACATAGTGATAATTCACAGATTATACTAGATAGTGTTTTAGATCTAGTTTATGTTATCAAAGAACACCAGACCCTATAATGTGACTAGCGTAAGATTTCTATTAGAGAATGCTGTTTGTATGAGCATTGTCACAAAAATTATCAAATTCTCTCATAGCTAGCTGAGAATCTACTTTGTTGGCTTCATAATAACAGAATTCTATCCCATTTATAATTAATAAACTTGGGCCCTATTAAAACATTTCCACCAAAATATGTTAGAAAATACCAGTAAATTTATTTCAGAAAACTTTGTCAATAGCTTGTGAAAAGTAAAGTTAGAAAGCTAGTAATTATTTATTAGTATCATTTGTTGAAGCAGATATTTTCTGCATAATTTCCAAATTCATTTGCATGTGATGATGTGACAGATATTTGGTGCATTACAAGTGCAGTTTATATTTCTGTGTATGGAATTCATTCACCCAATAGAAAATTAAATGTTCTTTATATGTTTTGTAGAACTTACAAAGACTTTTTTTTTTTCATATAAGCTGATAGCAAACCTGACATGATGATATCAGGTCATTAATCATAATTTACTAATACCTAACATCTTAATTATATTTTGAATTTTGTTTTAGATCTCAAGATGATCCTTTTACTGTTTATGCAGCTTTGGCAAGTGGCCCTCATACTTTATTTGTTTCGCTTGATCTTATGCGAGATCACGTGTCTCGGCTGGAAGATGCAAAGTTGATTCATTTATTCAAAAAATGGCAACAATCGCATCAGTTATTTATGAAAGTTGATGAAGAAAATAACATCAAATTTACAGTAAGTTTTCATTCCTTTGTTTCTGTGTGCATTCAACTAAATGCATCAAAATCAAACTTTTGTAAACTAAGTTAAAAAATTAATACATGCTTATCTGATATATATGTTAGAGCAACATTCACTTAACTATCTCACCACCAGATGGCTGCACTATGCAGGAAGCAGTCCATTCACAGTTTTGAATATGGCTTGCCTGCTAGCATGAAATTGTGGGAAATAATAATAATAAATTATAAAATAATGATTAATTAAAAAGGAAAAATACTGGTTGATCGTAGATATTGCAAACTGATTTTTTTAAAGTGTTTTTTGTAATTTTTGTAATTGTTTGATTGCCTAAGTTCCTAATTTTTATCTGTGTTTTTTTAACTGCAATTCAACTGTAACCTGATGTACCGATAACCATGTGCTCGATCGGCAGTGGAAATAAAGTGTGTGTTTTCTTTATTTGCCAAGTCTTTGATGAAATTATTATTATCCAAATGGGCTAAGTAATATCTTATTTTTTTTTATTCTCAATCCGTGGACATGTGAGCAAACGACGTGATATGCCCAAACATATTATTTTGCATAGCACTTGTGGGAAAAGCTGATACTTTCCAGATTGAGCTGAACGCGTGTAACTATATGTGGTGACCCTTAGGACTCTCTTCTGGAACATTTCGTTCATCATGCCTGACGTACAGCCTTCCATGGTCGAGGATAAGGCCGAGGCTAACAGAGTTAGCGTAAAGATACCTCCTTTCTGGGTCGACAAACCAGAAATCTGGTTCTACCAAGTTGAAGCCCAGTTCGCCATTAGCGGAATAACCAGCGAGGAGACGAAGTTCAATTACCTCGTGGCCCAGCTCGAACCACGATTTATTGAAAATATTTGGGACATAATAAAGGATGCCGGAACCAATAAATATTCTGCTGCTAAAGCGCGTTTGATGCAGACGTTTAAAAGAAAGTGAAAATCTCAAAATCAAACGTCTCCTTACGGGGTTAGAACTGGGTGATACGAAACCCAGCCAACTACTGCGCAGAATGAGATCGCTCGGTGACACGGATGATATTTCCGAGACAAAGTGCTACAAACTCGTTGGCTTGAAAAAATCCCCAATGCGGTGAAACATGTGCTGATTGTAAGTGATGAGAACTTGGAAAAATTAGCTACGATGGCAGACAAAATATTAGAAATGCAACCACGAGCGGAACTTGCCAGTGTTAACAAGAATACCGTTCTTGTGGACGAGCTGTTAAATAAGATTTCTGCTTTAGAACTTCAAATAGCGAATATGACTGCCCGTAACTCCCGATCACGATATCGGAGTCCCAGGGAAAATTGCAGTAAGAGTCGCAACAGATCTAGGAAAAGGTACAACCCAAATGGTAAATACTGCTATTACCACTTCAAGTTTGGCGAGAAGTGCTTCCCAGAAATTGCAAAGGACCTTGCAGCTGGAAACAATCGGAAAACATGAACCAGCAGTAGAATCAGCGGCAAGTCCTGCTGCAATGAGTCCCGATTGCCGCAAATTCCGATTATTTGTGAAGGACAGAAAAACGGGTTTATGGTTTTTAGTAGATAGCGGTGCTGACGTATCTCTCATTCCAGCAAATTTAAAAGCTGAAAAACCTTGCTCCTACACATTGTATGCAGCTAATGGAACTGAAATTCCAACTTTTGGATTCAAAACTTTAACTCTTGATCTAGGACTACGACGGCAGTTCCAGTGGCCTTTTGTGGTAGCCAAGGTAAGTAAAGGGATTATTGGTGCTGACTTTTTAAATAGATTTCACCTTCTGATTGATATTCACAAAAGAAAATTGATTGATGGTATTACCCGGTTATATGTCAACAGTGATATTTTGTCTATAACTGATGAGCACTGCATTAGCACTTTTGATCAGTCTTCAGAATTTTCTGATTTACTTAAATTATATCCAGATATCACAAAACCTAATATTTTGAGTACCTCTGTTAAGCATGGTGTCCAGCATTACATTACTACCAAAGGACCACCTGTTCACTCTCGTGCACGACAACTAGATCCTGCAAAATTGGCATTAGCCAAGCAGGAATTCCAATTTATGTTGGACAATAATATAATTCGACCATCAAAATCTCAGTGGGCTAGTCCACTGCACCTAGTTAACAAGAAAGATGGCACGCTACGTCCCTGTGGTGATTATCGGCGATTAAACGAGCAAACTATTCCTGATCGATATCCCATCCCTCGAATAGAGGATTTCAACCTGATCTTGCAAAATAAAGTTATCTTTTCTAAAATTGATCTTGTCAAGGCTTATTATCAAATACCTATCGCGGAAGAAGATAAGCCCAAAACTGCCATCATTACGCCATTTGGTTTATATGAATTCAATGTTATGAGTTTTGGCCTACGAAATGCCCCATCTACATTTCAACGTTTTATAAATGAGGTTTTTCATGGCCTGAACTTTTTATTTCCGTATTTAGATGATGTGCTAGTGGCTTCCTCATCAAAAGAAGAAGACAAAGAGCACCTTAAGTTAGATTTTGAGAGGCTGAATACTTATGGTCTTCGTATTAACGTAGCAAAATCCATAATGGGTGTTAACCAAATAGAATTCTTGGGATACCTCATCACAGCCAAAGGATCACAACCTCTCCCTGCCAAAGTTCAAGTGATCTTGGATTACAAGTTACCAAAAACCTTGCATGACCTACGTACATTTCTAGGCATGTTGAATTTTTACCGCAGGTATTTGAAAGATGCTGCAAAAACGCAAGCACTGCTACATGAAATGCTGAAAGGTGCCAAAAAGAAAGACAGGAGGCCAGTACCTTGGACAGATGATGCCATTAAACAATTTGAACAATGCAAAAGAGATCTAGCTGATGCTGCACTCCTGAGTTTCCCAATACCTGGACTTCCATTATCTTTGTACATAGATGCTTCAGATTGGGCTGTAGGCTCAGTATTACAGCAATATGAAGCTGGAAGTTGGAAGCCAATAGCCTTCTATTCCAAAAAATTAAACGAAACTCAAAAAGCGTACAGCACATATGATCGTGAGCTGTTAGGTGTGTACTTGTCCGTGAAACATTTTAAGTATATGTTGGAAGGCAGAGAATTTGTTATCCTGACAGATCACAAACCTTTAACATTTGCATTCAAACAGAAGAATGAAAAAGCTTCTCCAAGACAGTTACGTCAGCTTCAGTACATATCTCAATTCACCACAGACATCAAGCATGTTAGTGGGAAGGATAACACTGTCGCTGATGCTTTATCAAGAATCGAAGTAGTTTCTGCCATTGATTACGAGCAAATAGCTCAGGAACAGTGTACGGATAATGAATTTAAAGAATTGTGTACCAATAATACCTCATTGCATTTTAAGCCATATATCCTTTCGTCTGAAAAAATTTTATGGTGTGATGTGTCACAAAATAAAATTCGACCATACATCCCGCATAAGTTTCGAAGGATGATTTTCAATCAAATCCACAACTTGTCACATCCTGGCATAAAATCTACTGTCAAACAGGTAGCTGCCAGGTTTACGTGGCCAGGAATAAACAAACAAGTTAAGGAATGGGCTCAAGCATGTATAAATTGCCAAAAGGCTAAAGTGATTAGACACACTAAATCCAAATTTGCACAGTTTGAGGAACCAGATGTTAGATTTAGCGTCATACACATTGACATCGTTGGACAACTTCCACCATCAAATGGTCAAATGTATTGCTTAACCTGCATTGATAGGTTTACTTGTTGGATGGAAGCCATCCCTCTGCCAGACATTACTGCAGAAACAGTGAGCAAGGCCTTTTATGCAAACTGGATCTGTAGATTTGGTGTACCAAGCAAAATAATCACAGACCAAGGGAGGCAGTTTGAATCCGAATTATTTCAGAATCTGGCCATAATATGTGGAGCCAAAGTTTGTCATACAACTCCTTACCACCCCCAGAGCAATGGAAAAGTCGAACGTTTCCACAGAACACTAAAAGCAGCTATTAAAGCTCATAACAGTGTAAAATGGACTGATGTCATACCAACGGTGCTTTTGGGATTGAGATCAGCGATAAGGGAGGATACAAACCACTCCATAGCACAAATGGTTTATGGGACAAACATTCGACTTCCTGGTGAGTTCTTTCATGTACCTACTTTCAAAATTGAACCTGATACCTTTGCAAGCAGGCTTCAGGGATACATGGACAGGTTGAAACCAATGAAAGTTCAGCATACAACAAAGCAGACTATCTTTGTTCATAAAGACCTCAGCTCCTGCTCTCATGTGTTCGTACGAATAGACAGAGTTAAAAAAACCCTGGAACCACTGTACGATGGACCTTTTCTTGTAGTGCAGAGACACGAGAAATATTTTGGTGTGTCAATTAAGGGAAAGCAAGTCAACATCTCAATTGACAGGCTTAAGCCTGCCTACTTGTTGAGTACAAATATCAACTATGATAATACACCTGCAATGTCAGTGGGCGACAAAAATACTGAAAGCTCAAAGTCACAAATCCCTCAGGTCATAACTAATGATAATAAACAAACAATGACTAGTCGCTGTGGTAGAAAAATAAAGCCTGTACGGTTCCAAGATTAAGATATGTATATATATCATTGAAAAGTAATCACTTTATTTTTTAAATCTAGAATAATGCCTTGAAAAATTATTTTCATGAATAGGTAAACATGTTCTCAAAGCTTAAAGTATTTTTATTACTGTACCTTATTGATATTGCATTTTATACTAGTAATATGTAAACATCTCAATGGTTAAAGTATTTTCTATTGTATGTCATTGATATTGAATTCTTTACTAGGAGATTTTTAGAAACAAAGTTATTCTGATAATTTTTATTAATTTTAGTGATTTGTCATGTTTGCAAAAGTTAAACCATATAGTATTGACTTCAGAATACACTTGACAGTTCTTTTACTGGTAGCAAACAAGATGTCAAATGTCGTTCTAGTTAATGCATTTTTTTTTTTTCAGTTTCTGTTAAATAC